GAGATATTTCTTAAGCATTTCAGAAATATTTCTAAAGCATTTCAGAAATATTTCTGAGATTTCAGAAACATTTCTGAAATCTCAGCTTGGCGGACATTTTAGCTTTCTAAAACATATCTGAAACATGTCTAAAATGTTTTTTTGAAAGGTTTCATATTTCATTGACAATTTTTTGAAAACTTTCTGAAATATTTCGATGCTGTGTGGGTAACTTCGAAGCTTTGAATATCGAAACCTTTGAAGCAAATTACCAGCCCTAGTCGAAACAAGCTCTCGAAGAAATTCCATATATTTGATTATGAGTGAATATCTGTGAAACTGTGAGGTATATAAAAAAATGTTTTAGACAAAAAGGTTACGGTATTAAGTAATCTCTGTAATTGTGTATTTATATTTTATTTGTATGAATATGAAATCAAATTAATGTGTTCTTTGATTTCCAGGGAAGATCATTTATTAATATGCTGGCATTTAGAAGGTGGTATTGCACATTCCACTGTTGTAACAGAATTTCCAAATGATTTTTATTCTACCGATATGCAATGGCACCCTCGTCCCAATCATACTGCTTCTGCTGCCAAGACATCTTCTTTAGATGTGTTATTAATTACTACAGCTGATGGTATGTTATTGATTTAAGGGAGACCGGGGCAAAGTCGTCACTATTTTTTCGGTGCCGATTTTTAACAACAAAACAAATAATTTTAGTAAAATGCGGTATACCATTGTAAAGAGTGAACCCTTGGCAACAAAAGAACCCCGCACATCACAGGAAAAATGGGCCTCTCGTCGAATTTGCTGAAATTGTAATATGATGTAGTCCATGTCGTCCTGATCAAAAGTTATAATGGGCCCGAGGTCAAAGAATGGACAGTTTCCGAGATACGGGGGGGTCAAAGGTCAACAATAGTGCTTTATTCTAAAATTCTTTGTGTATATCCGCACGTGAGCAGTGTTGTTGTGTGCGTATGTACCATTCTACGTATGTGTGTGTGAGCGTAGCCTGGTTTGATACATGGCAATAGTAATATGGCGTTCGCAATATGGTTACCTACGAAACTAGTGCACGGATCGAGATCAAACTTGGCCAGCATGTTCACCGTCGAAAAAGGGTTTTATTTTTATTTAAGCATACGTGGCCATATTACCCTCACTGGCAGAGTTTCAAGATTGGTGATAGCTAATGAAGACAATCGGTGTAGCCAGAGCCGAAACTCGCCAAAGTGAGATTCGGCTTCAAATAACTAAACGAGCCGATTCTCGACAACTCGACCTACGAAGCTACGTTTACATACAAATACACATACATATGCAGAATGGCACATACGCACATAAAAACTACATCATACTACAATTTCAGCAAATTCGATGGGAGGCCAATTTTTACTGTGATGTGTGCGGAGTCTTACGGACATTTTTGGTCTACGTCGCTTTGTTCAACTGGTATAGAGTAAAAACAACAAAGGTGCAAGAATTGAAATGTCAAAATTGCCGGGGCGGAGTCGTCACTCCATTCTCGGACTGAATTTTAAATAAAAATTTATAATTCCGATCATAAAAAATGATAAGATACATTTTATTAATTATTTTTTAATAGAAAAATGGAAATATTAATTAAAAACACGATGGCGGAAAATAATTACAAGAAAAGCGCACACACTTTTGTGGTGCCCTACGCTCGCACGTTTCTCGTCAGCTCTATTCTGTCACCTCTGAGCACACGCAGCACATATTATCCAAGTTCTCGCTGGAATCCGACCACTGCTGCTTCTTTGATTTTGATTTTCGCCCGAAGTCTCCATGATATGGCTTGATGATATGGCTTCGCCCCGGACAGAAGTTTCAAGTTTAGTCGCTCATAAAATATTAGAAATCAATGAAAATAAAAAAACACTTCACTGGATTCGTGTTCAGCAGTGATTCTATGCATTACTCTTTAGAATCACTTACTTTGAGATTCGGAGACACAATAATATTTAAGATATTGCAAATTTTTGACGCGCAAAATATTTTACTTTCTCTAAAAACACGTTTGCCTCGATAAGAATCACAACATGGTACATAACTTCACTAAACTCCGTTGGTCACGTGGGCACCGTAAGCCACGTTTACAGTATTAATGGCAAGTTCACACAACATACAGATTTCGAGATAATTGCAATGACGACTCCGCCCCGGTGACGACTTCGCTCCGGTCTCCCCTATAAAATTTTGTTTTTTTTAATGGTATTTTAATATTCCGAGTAAGTAACATTTACTTTGCCAGCAATTATAATTAATCTAATTAATAGTTAAGACTTTTTTAATCTATTCAATTGACAATAATTGTTATGGTCATTACCACAGATTATTAATCTGTCATTACAATGGTCATCGACAATACGACCATTGATTTTGATAAAATTAAATGTCAAGATGTTTTGACCATGGATTTTGAAATAAAATAAGTTAAAATTTTGGTTGTTTTGACATCGAAATTGTATCAAATATCAACCAACTTTCAACTTCGTTTCAAAGTCGAATCGACTTTCTTTCATAACAATTTTTCCCATAAAGCACAAAATATTTTAAAAATATTTTTTCGTGTGCATAGATGCAATTTATATATTGTACAGATTGCATCTATGCACACGTGGAAATATTTTCAAAAATTTGACTTACACCACTGTGGTTTTTACCCCTCCACACTGAAAAAAAAAACTTAGATCCAAGAAAATATTTTTTCACATAGTACCAATGGCCTTATTTACTTTGATAAGGATACGTCGGGATCAAGATGGGAGGCTATTGGTACTATGTGAAAAAATATTTTCTTGAATCTAAGTATTTTCTTTCAGTGCAAATCATCAAATTAACTAATATTGATAAATATAAGCTCAGACTATCGCGTCAACACATTTTTAGTATAAAAATGATTTTCAAAATTGTTCTGTTTTTTTTCATTTATTGAATTTACAAATTTGCTAAATTTATATAAAAACTCTTATATTTATAAAAAAATTATTTATTGCATTATTTACTGCATTTATTAACTTTTTGTGATAAATTATATTTATCAGTATTTATTGTTTGTTACTACTTACTCAATTTTTGAATTTACGGAATTTATTTTATTTAATTAAGTTTTATTTATTTACTTCAATTTAATTGAAATAATTCCTCAATTAGAATTAAATTTATGTAGACATATTTTCGATACAGTTTATTTGTTTTATTAAATAATGGCGCGTAATGCCTGCCGTCACTTACGTTATCCCATTAATGGCGACTTTGTCCCATCCCTCACTAGAGGATCCCTAACAGCAGATAGACGATATCCGCATATATCCGCGTGCGCGGCGCCGCCGATTACCGCTACCGCTCATTCTTTTATTAGTAGTCAGCGCGCGAGTTTGTTCTTTTGTAAGGAAGTGATTCAGAATTATAGTAAAGCGTGAGTGGAAATTAAAAGAGCTTACGAGTATTATTTTCACCTTCTGCCGTATACACACAAATACACAACATTCTGAAAGATTTTGTATAATTTTCCAGAATTGTAACATTATGGCAATGTCCAGTTATTGGTTCGTCTGTTGTGTATGTCTGAATGTTACGTTATAATTGGGCAGGTGTGTCTGTTTGTACGTCATTCTTTCGCGTGTGTTTGTTCCTGCCATCATGTCAGGCGTTACTATCTTACATTTGTCTCTTAGCGTTATTTGACCTGTCCGTTCGATTTCTATCTTTTGCATCGCTTCGTTTCTACATATTATTTCTATGGCTTGTTTAGTTCGAGTGGAATATAGCCATGAGTTCGGATTACTTAATGCTATCCATATCGTTGTGTTAGTGTGTATGCTTCGAATACTGCAATGATTTAAATGTGTATCTATAGTTACATACGCTTGTACTTCGCATAACGCATTATTATCTACGTGATGAACGGGGTGGTTTCGCTTGCATACATATGAATTGTCATCCTTAATACATTTATTTAATTCACTTTCCGCAATTGTACAATATGTTCGGCTATCGGTATCTATCGCTATAATTTGTTGATTTATTTTTACAAATACAAATATATCTTTGCTTTTATGTATAGGTAAAGATATCGCTTTTATTATTTCGTACGTTGGGTACGTGATCAGTGGGAATTTGTATAATAGTCTATATATTTGTGCCGTCGCAGTAGGCGCTAATTTTCGCTAATTTTTCTATCGTTTTCTGATACTATTTGAAACGGATAGTGTGTTCCCTGAGGTATCTGCGAAGCTATTTTTCTTTGTATTGCTTGTCTTGATTTACTTGTTCTTTGCCAGGTCGCCCATGTAATAACCAGCATTCCTCGTGTATGTGTCCTGTCTTTTTGCAATGTTTACAATATTTTTTAATTTTATTTACGCGGGAGTATCTGTTTGGTTTTGGTAACGAGAATCGGTTTGCATATTGACTTGTTCTGCAATCGCGACCGTAATGTCCATTCTTTCCGCATTTCTGGCACTGTACCATTGGTTTATTATCTCGTGCCTGTGGGGAATGCGTGTAATTATTTTTTGGACGCGGGAAATTTTCGCTCGGTCCGTTAGCTTTTTCTTCTGCGTTTGCCCCTGCAATTGCCTCGTGCAACGTAGCATAATGTTGGTAGAGACCCTAAAAGAGAGACCCGACTTCTTGGGAGTCCGCGTGATTGGTGCACGTAACTTGTGTCCACAAAATGGCGCCGCCCAATAGGAACCCTTGCTGATCCAGCGCGAAGAAGCAGACAATTTGGATTGAATTACACTCACTCTCCGAATTTATTTAAATATAGTAATGAATAATACGTTTTTTGAAACATGCATATATCATATAGGTGATATAATAATAAATTAAGTGAAAAAGGTATGATAATATGTATTTAATATTATATATATATATATACATACATATACATAATGATATAACTATATTATATTTATTGTAAATTATCGTATTGTCGCATGCATCGCCATAGTTTTACTATTATATATTTTTTTCGGTAAACGGCCCCCAGAATTCCCTATTCGAAGTCGAAATCGAATAAAACGCATCATTATCTTATTCTTTATGTTGTGACAGTTTCTCAACGTTTCGCATGCAATGGCCTGCATTTTTTCATGAAAAAAATGAACTAAATCAAATTTAGTCGTTTCAAAATTTGTTTTTAGATATGGTAAGTACTGCCTCATAACAATTTCCATCTGATGAAAATACTCAAATGTTGCGTTATTTACGAAAAAAAGCGTATTACGTCGAAAAGATTTCAACAACACAAATTTTGCAAATTTTGAGGATGGATTGTATGTGAGAAATCCAGCGGAACTTAAACACAATTTACAAGTAATATTATTGTTTGAAACACGGGAGAGAATATAGCCGGCGATGTTGTACAATACATTCAGTTCAATGTCCCCTATGTGTATTTTTCTCGTTGACAAATCAGGAACAGGTGGCAAGCGGTTTTTTATTTCTTTAGATTTAGGTGTACTCAAAAAATCGCCAACAATAATTCTGTCGTCTTCTTCGTAGCTGGAATTACCTACAGGTTTTAAATATTTTGAAATTGCGATTATTTTTAAATTTTGCTTGAATTGCAAGGCGGTTGGAATGGGTTGTTTAGCTCTA